TAAAATATTATATTATTACGATAAAAATCTGCAGTGACAAAATGTAATATATAAAATGATATATATTGGGATTATTTCATATATATGCTCTGTTATTTGATTGTAATAATATATATAATTATTTCACAAATAATATAATAATTTATTGAAATGAAACAGCGATTTAGATACTTTACAAATAAAACATGCTTCATGCAATTATAGCGATTATTTTCTCTCTTTATTTTCAACTCGATGGACGCAAAGCAAAAGATCAGATTTGCATTGCCGTTGATCGCATGTTTGCATTCCTCCATGTTTCTCGATCGCTCTTTGTTTTAGCAAGAAAGATAAGAATGTTGTCGTTTATTCACTCACGCCAGAGATAGTGGCGATGTCGCGAGTGTGTGTAGTACAATGGGCCCATAGAGCTGAATGACATTATTGAGAGTGATTCACAAAGTGATTTGTTTCTCTGTTGAAAGACAAGTAAAACACAATGCTCTTGAATAGGGACATCTTCAAGTGGATTTTGAGGGTCCTCTTGTACATTGACTGTACTCGAGGAGTTCACTTTGGCCTACAGAGCTCTGTTGTGCGACCATAAAAACAGATGCAGCTAACTTCAGACTGAGCTGACTTAGTGGTTAGAAACTTAGAAAGCTTCGGATTTGAATTTGGCTTTGCCGTGACATCGCAGGGCTAATGCGGTTGCTGCAGTGCATTATGGGAGCTTCTGGGAGGTGAGCATCGTCTGATCGAGTGTCTGATGTAGTTTTAGCGATCATAAATGCTATCTGGTGTTGGTGCTAGGACAAACGTGTGACTGAAATCAAGTCGTGACGCTTGACATCAGCACATTGTGGGTTATTCTGACCAAGTGCCGCCCACTTAGACAGGAAGAGACCGCGTGACGTGTGAAGCGACCAATCTTGTTTTTTGTGCACTTGTGGTTTTGAACGATTGAGATGTTTCTGCACTGATTTCTTAAGAATAACGTCATCTTTTGCTTTCTGCTTGATTTTAATCATGTAGTATTAAAGTAAATAAGACCATTTGGATTGTATTTTGACTTGTTAATCACTTAATCTTGATCATTTGCTCTTGTGAGAGTTTTAAACGTGAACTAACCGGAGTGAGTGAGTAATGCTGAGCGCTCGTGTCTAATTGTGGACGGTTACATCATGAAGGAAACAGTTCTTCTCATCTTCATAATGTTTGACCTGAAGCAAACTGTGTGCAAGCATAACTACTGTGATTAAATTACAATATCATGATATTATAGTCATTCTATATCATATTAAAAGTATACATAGTATACACTATAGTTATAATATAGTTATTTTTGTTGAATATTCAACCCAAAAATGATATAATGCCTATTTTTAGTGATCAAGTGAATTGCTTCACAAATGCTTCATCTCGTTTATTTATTTGGAACTTGTCGGACTCCGACCAGAAGATGAGATGATTCAGAACAAATTAATGAATCTGCGCTAAAGTTATAAAACACTCGAGTTCAAAACTGTCAAACTAATATTCGTGTTATTGCAGCTTTGCTCTCTGCTTTTAAGCAGCTAATACTCACATTCACTACAAAACTCCTGTTGTGTTTTCAGCTGCATCAAGAAAGACTCCGAGCGACTTGAAGTGAGCGACGCTGACGTGGGATCAGAGCTCTGGAGGGCCAGCAGAGGGCAAAGGTCAGACTTGAGATGCTAAGCTAAGCTGTGTCATACTTTTACTTGCTATTTTACTGGTGATGTGAAAATACATGCTCTTGAGTATAGAGTATGTAAGATAGTGCACCTTAAATGGCTGTGAACTTAAAATGATTTAGCCATGAGACACAGGATGTTGTGTTGATTATGACAGGAAGATGAATGCATTTTCAGAGAAACTCCCGTAAAATAACTTTTCAGGTGTATGTATTTGGAAACATGAATTTGAAAATCTTGTAAAGCTGCTGCATGTTTTAAATGTGTGGAATTATGGGAGATTCATTTATTATATAAAATGTGCATTATATTTTAAATGTTATATAATAATTAACTGGTGCTTCTAAAAATATTTTCATAGTCGCACGCAGTAGTTTTCAGTCGCAAATGCGACTGAAATGGTCGCACTGTCGAGCCCTGCGTATGAAATAATTGTGATATTATAATTTTATATAAATATTCATTCTCATCACATTTACATTAAATTATGAATCAGACATGTTCACAAGTCTCTGAGGTCCAAGTCAAGTCTCAAGTCTTTAAGGTCGAGTCTAAATCAAGTCTTAAGTCTTTAAAGTGGAGTCCAAGTCACGTCTCAAGTCTTTAAGGTCGAGTCTAAATCAAGTCTCAAGTCTTTAAAGTGGAGTCCAACAGCTAGTTATTGAGGCTAAATCGGTTTTGAAATACTGATTTCACGATATGATTTTCTCAAAAAATACTTTAACTGTGTGTGAGACAAATTAGAAATTATCCATTTATTGTCCATTTATTAATTGTCAGACAAAATGCTGCACATTTCTTTGTAAAATTGAAATATGTCAAACAACAAAACTAAATTGAAATTTTAAAACAAACCCCAATCAATCAAATGAATAACACAAATTAAATTAATCTCATATAAACAAACTAAGGCTTTGTTTGTGCTCTTTTTAGGGGCAACCACAGTATTTTAAACACAACACAATCCTAACAAAGAGGCTGCATACATGCAGCATGAGCCGTTTTTAATCTACATTGGATTGTATAATTTCGAAATTTAAAGGGTTTTGAAATACTGATTTCACGATATGATTTTCTCAAAAAATACTTTAACAAAATGTAAGACAAATTAGAAATTATCCATTTATTGTCCATTTATTAATTGTCAGACAAAATGCTGCACATTTCTTTGTAAAATTGAAATATGTCAAACAACAAAACTAAATTGAAATTTTAAAACAAACCCCAATCAATCAAATGAATAACACAAATTAAATTAATCTCATATAAACAAACTAAGGCTTTGTTTGTGCTCTTTTTAGGGGCAACCACAGTATTTTAAACACAACACAATCCTAACAAAGAGGCTGCATACATGCAGCATGAGCCGTTTTTAATCTACATTGGATTGTATAATTTCGAAATTTAAAGCAAAAACTAAATGTTCTGACTTTAGTTTTGTGAAAATATTCTACAGAAACATCTGCACAAAACAAAACAGCAGACAGGCTGAATTATAATGCAGATTCACTCTCTGCCAGCAGGTGGCACTTGAACAGCAATTAAACATCATTTCCCTGGTTGCCGCTGTAAACAAAGCAGCGCTGCGGTTATGAACACTACTTCAATATGCATTATACAGAGGCAAGATAAAAAGAAAATACCATCTAAACTTTTCTAAAGATAGCCAGTTCCCCTCAGAAATACATTCATATAAACTCCCATACCAAATGACTTGCGTTTTTTACGAGTCTTATGAGTCACGAGTCCAAGTCAAGTCTCGAGTCAGCTGTTCACGAGTCCAAGTCAATTCCCAAGTCTTTATTTATGCGACTGAAGTGCAACTCGAGTTCAAGTCACAGACTCGAGTTTCCATCTCCGTTATGAATATATATATAAATGTTTACAAAATGTATATTATATTATTATTTATAATATATGTTAACATTAAATTACTCAAATTGAGAGACTTTTTGAAAAACTAAAATATGGTCACCCTACTAAAGCTAAATTTCCCTTGTAATGACTTGCAATGAGAAGCATTTCTAAACCTGTTGTCCAACAAAAGAGAACACTATAACGTTTTTACTCCACAACTGCTTGCGATTAGCAATGGATTATAAATATACTTAATTATGATGAAAATACCAAAGATGGCTTGAATAACACAGATAAACTATACATTGTCGCAGTCGAGTGTTTATCGTCTTTGTTTTATCATTCAAAACGTTTATATCTTCTGTTTACTCAGTTACAGCGATAGCAATGCCTTTGTCCATATTAGCAAAGAGTATAGGGATTTCCTGAGTCCTATTACTTCTGTGATGCACATGTGGAGTTTCTGCGCGTGGGCGCCCTCTGGCATCCAGTATGAATGAAACGGACATTAAATGTGTTTAAAGCGCTCAATAATGGCCAATCCATCCTATTTTGGGTATTTATTTATTATATATATTTTTTTTTAAGTATCGGTTCAGGCACCGTTTCAAAAGTATCGATTTGGCACCAGTATCGTAAAATACCCAAACGATACCCAACCCTATCTAACACTAGCTTGCTCTATTCTTTTTCTATTCTATCGGTTTTCTTTTTATTTATTATAGAATTAAAAAAAAACTTGCTACGTGTACTGCGTTAAGCTAACTGAGACTTGTTATAGCACTTGCATATCATTGCTCTTTTGTTGATTTTGATTGCTTCCATTGTCCTCATTTGTAAGTCGCTTTGGATAAAAGCGTAGCTAAATGACAAAAAAAAAAAAGTATTTAGACACTTACAGTAATCGTGTCTTTGCATTACACACCATCAAATCATGTGTCATTTATAATGAAGGAAGATGCACAAACACACTTTTGCAACAATATTAATCATTCACATTCTTCACCAGCAACATGGAGGAGTTCAAAGTTCAGACCGCCAAACACCCCGTACCCAACAGTTCACCCATGCGTCCGCACAGCGAACACCCAAAAGATCACGCGGCCAAACGCCTGTCCTCCGCATCCAACGGCATGAGCGACGGAGGAGCGGGAGCCAAAACGCCTGTGGAGATCACCGCGCTGGAGGAGTCCTTCCGCCGCTTCGCCATCCACGGAGACACGCGAGCCACCGGCAAAGACATGAACGGCAAGAACTGGTCCAAACTGTGTAAAGACTGCGGCGTCATCGATGGCAAGGGCATCACCCTCACAGACGTGGACATAGTCTTCTCCAAAGTCAAGTCAGTCAGCATTTGCACCACTTTTAAACATTTAGGACCAGAGTTGGGGAAAGTTACTTTTAAAAGTAATGCATTATAATATTGTGTTACTCCCTAAAAAAGTAACTAATTGCATTACTTAGTTACTTTTTATGGAAAGTAATGCGTTACAGTACTTATGCATTACTTTTTCTCATCTGGGCTGTGCTTGCTTGTTTGTTTTTTATATTAAAAAGTTATATGTTTTGCATATATAAAAGGCTGATGGAAATTCAACATAGGGGAAAAAATGGGAAAACAAAGTAACTGGCATTACTTATTTGAAAAAGTAACTTTTCTTGTAAATTAAAAAGTAATGCGTTACTTTACTAGTTACTTGAAAAAAGTAATCTGATTACATAACTCGCATTAGTTGCAATATGTTACCCCCAACAATGTTTAGGACTAGAGCACAACAGGCGGGTTATGGAAGTAAAAGTCACATTAATTTTCTACACAGATAAATTGATTTTTTTTGTTTGTTCTTGATGCAAAGCTAATGACTTGATATGCACACTTACAAATCTGATCTTCTACTTTTTCAGTGTGCAATTAAATTTTACATTCTTGCATTTAGCAGACACTTTTATTTAGTTCATGCATTCCCTGGGAATCAAACCCATGACCCTGGCATTATTAGTGCCATGCTCTACTATTTGAGCAACAATCTCTTTGGATTTGAGACTTTAGTCTTTGCAACTTTACAGATCTTCTTTATGCACCAAGAGCTTGTAACACTCCAAAGAGAAAATAAAACGTGAAATCGCATCATATAACCCCTTTAACACTTCCTTCTCCCTTCTTGCATCACTCACTTTGAGTTTGTTGCAGTGCATCCTGGGATTGCGTTGCCTATGAAGCATGCATGCGATGCTGTCTTTGATTTTGGCCAAAACTTTGTGCCTGAAATGCTCAGTGCTGTCTAGGTAGGATGCGATTACACTGTCAACCAATAGGATTTTCTCGCAGACATCTGGCACAGTGTGTCACATACACATAAACACAGATGTTGCATGCATGTAAACAGCAAAAACACTATGAGATCTGTTTTGTGCCGCGTTCAGATGTGGATTAAATCTGGTCATCTGACCCACTTTTACTCACTCACATCTGATTCTCCTCTTAATGCGCCACTCTTTCACAGCAGGTTCAGGTCAGGTTAGCAAATCATGCAGGGAAGACGCGAGTGAGTGACAGATTAATATGCATGTATTTATTCGTCCCTCACTTGTGCATGTCATATTAAATCATAAATCATACAGCCTCTTTTATCAAGCTGTGTCAGAGGACAAATGCTCTAACTGAGGGACAAAATTGCATTTCTTAACTGATCTGTGCATTATGCAATATGTGCATGTTAACAAATACAATAACAATAACAAAATATTGAATCAGTGCAATAAGCTTTGCAGTGTAGGAATGTAGCTGTGACATTTTCTGTAACAGAAAATATTTTTTTTCTGAATATGCATTCTATAAAACCAAAACAATTGTTACTTAAAATAAAATAAACATTAACAGAGATCAAATTGTTTTTGTTTAGTTTAAGTTGAAGTGCTAAAATAACTAAAACAAAAAAAATATTCTTAATATTATTAAATAAATTATTTTTTTATCAAATAATTTATTATTTAATATTATTAAATAAATTATTTATTTATTTATCTAATAAATTATTATTTAATATATTATTTTTCAAATAAAATCCTTTTAAAAAATACACAAAAAAATTATTAAAACTAAAATGAAAATATATATAATAAAAAATATATATATATAATATAAAAAATAAAATTTTATTCAAAATATTTACAAAAACAATATAGTATAATAGTGTATCAATGAAAGTAAAATAACACTGCACGGTGAAGAGGAGTCGTGCTGTGTTGATGTTTTTCTGGTTCTTCCCCCACAGCCACAGGCCATGATGGCTCATGCTGAATAACCCTGATGACTGCAGGACAGAAGGAGTCATCGCTGCTTCAGTAGGGCCAGATTTTAATAACGTGCCCTTAATATAGAGCTCCGTACACACTGATCTCGCCTTTAAACATCCAGTCTTCAGATGTTTAGATAAAAGTGCTGGTTTGTTCAAATAGTAGAATGAATCTTTGTAGCATTTATGCATAGAAGATATTCTCTTCCTTTTATCAAGCCTGCAGTAGTGAAGAGATTCTTCAACCCGACTGAGCGAGAATAAAGATTATTCTGCTAGACGGCGTCAGAACAACGTGGCTGAGCAGAAACGAGAGGCAGAAAGAACCAATGCATGCATTAACATTTAAAAGGAGAAGTGCAAGCAAAAAGGAAGTCAGTCCCAACCCTTTATGCTATTATAAGAGTATTATTATTATCATCATCATCATTATTATTTCATGGGCAAAAAAAAAGAAAATATCATGACAGCAGTGCAAACAACTCTTGTGGTATATTCCACGTCTTTTAAAGCAAGCAAGCAAAATGTAAGTTATTTTAGCAAAATGTTTTGATGCTTTTCAGGTGTTTTCTGACCTATTAGGACAGATTAAAACCCCTCCGATTGATGTTAATGATGCTTGATAAAGTCCCGGCACATTTAAAGCTGCAGCACACAGCAATGCAAACATTACAATACTCCTCCATTCAGCACGTAATACCACAGTACAGACAAATAGACATAAACCAGTGTTTCTGTGGGTTTTAAAAGGTCTTAATTCAGTTTAGAAAGTCTTGTTGCATGCACTGCGAAAAAATTAATTTGTTTTCCAATACACATTTAAACATCTGTGAATCAAGATACATTTAGTTGAGATGCAAATTGAAGAAAATAAGTCTTGTTTTCTGAGAAACTGAACAAAATGAAGCGAGTTTATGCTTGAAAGAAAAACAAATATGTCAATGGGGAATGAAAATTACTTTCTCTTTCAATTAAGTACATTTGTCTGAGCCCATTGGCAGATATTTGTTCTTGTTTTAATCATAAACTTGTATCATTTTGATTAAATTCTCAAAAAAAAAAAACAAGACTTCCTATGATTTACCTCTATAATATTACCTAATTGATGATGCTGAGTTCAAAAATATCAATGAAAACTTCATATCACATATACTTTTTTTTACCCCCACAAAATAAGAATGTTTTTCAAATTATATTTACAGTATGTGTCAGCTTTAATGCACTTATCAAAATAAAAGTTTGGGCTTTAATGACAAAAAGTAGCATTCAAAATGTATCATACATTTCAAAATGTATGAAAATATAAGACTACTTCGCCTTAAAATGGCTGTCACAAAAACAAAAATGCTACAAAATGCATCATATTTTGTAAAAAATAAAAATAAAAAGTGTGATGCTCTCAAACTATTTTTGGAATCAGCACCTCAAAATGAGAAACAAGTATTGGGTTTCATTCAGCAGATATGATGCAGAGTGGCTGTGTTTTATGTTTTCATGTGTTAATAACAGCATATGTATGTTTATGTCTCTATGAACATGTATAAATATGAAAGCATTCAGCACAAGCTCATAGTAGAGAGAACAGCGGCTGACATTAGGCAGCAGGAACAGTCGCAGCGCTGAAGGATCGCACAAACAAAACTGCTCAGCGAAGAAGTCAAATTAATTATAAAGCCAAAGAGGCGTGTTTACCCAAGCTTGTTGCTATGACAGCAGGGGGAGACGACGGACTTTATGGGCTTTTGTTTAGGTTCTCGATCACCATGGTAAAGGCTGTTTGTGTTACTATGCGCCGCTTTACGAGCCGAATGCATTCGCTGTAAGTGCATGCCTGGAGTCATAATGCAAATCCTGCTTCAAGACCGGATAAATCAGCCGTTCTCTACTGGTTCTGCTTTGGGACGCTGATTTTGGCGAGCAAACGCAGTACCAAAACTGTTTGTCGTACTGAAGTAAACGAAATACCGTGCAGTTTGATTGGACGCTCGGCCCTTGATGGCAGCAACTACAGATACGGGAAGCATTCCCTCTCTTTTAAAGACGATTGGAAGTGCATTTCTTCCTCTGAAATGAAAGACTGGGAAACACTGTACAGCCGTGACGCCGGGCCTCTCAGAGCTGACATGTTCGTGTGATCACACACGCCTGCTCTCGGTTCATGCAACACTTTCAGAGGCCTTTATCCAAGCACTTCCCATGCAAACTTAAAGGGACAGTTCACCTAAAAATGAGAATTAGCTGTTAAAGACAATTTTTAATATAACTCCGACTGGATTCGTCTGAAAGAAGAAAGTCATATACACCTAGGATGCCTCGGGGGTGAGTAAAACACAGCCTAATTTTCATTTTTGGGTGAACTAACCCTTTAATTTACTCACCCTCAGGCCATCCAAGATGTAGACTTTTTTTCTTCAGTCGAACAGAAAAGAAGATTTTTAGCTGAAACTGTGGTGCTTAGTGATTCATAAAATGCAAGTCAATGGCTGCCGGCACTTTAAGAGCCAAAAAACACACATCAGGCAACACAAAATGAATCCCTGTGGCTCTTGATGATATATTGAGGTCTTATGAAGCGATCAGTCTGTGCACGAAACTGAACATTATTACCTGTAATCCAGAGCCTCAGGCAAATGGGAAATCTGATTCTTTTCCATGAACTGATTCTTTTGGACTATTCGTTTGGTTCAGTTCACTAGTTTGTTTACATAATCAGGCAATGACGTAACATATGCGCAATTATATTATTAAAGCACCCCAAAATGGTGTGAAACGTGGATGTTTTACGTGTCTAAAGCATATAAAGTGAATAAGCTAGTCTTCATCAGCTCACGTTTTTACATAAACCATGAGAAACCATGAAAACGTTCATTTGGCCCCTTCATTTGAGTGTTTTCGGTTCACACATGCGCAGATCAGCGGCTCATCGGTCTTCAGTTCGAGTCGAACTGTTTCTTCAGTTCAGTGACTGTTGGATGAACTGGAGCGCTAGATCAGTTCACTCATCACAGGATCAGATATACGGCAGTATTTCGGCTCGTTTCCAGTCGGAGTGACTGTCAGGCGTCTGAAAGTGAGTTTAGATTGAGTAACTTGTAGATCTGTGCTGCTCGAGCTGCAAACAGTTTCAGACGAGTCAGATGGTTCATTCAGTTCGTGAACCGGACATCACTCCGGACCGTTTGTCTGAGGCTTTGGATTACAGATGATAATGCTGTAAATAATGTTTAGTTTCTTGCACAGACTGATCGTTTCGCTTCATAAGACCTCAATATATCAGTCAGGAGTCACTGGTATTAATTTTGTGTTTATTTATTTATTTGACAGGGACAATGCACATCAATAATAAATAAATGTACAATATGCCAGAATTATCCAGAAGGCTATTTTGCATCTGCAGTCCCTAAAAATATAAAAAATTAATGAATACATAATACTTGCATACTCCATAATACATATAACATTTACACTATTCCTAAAAAAAAAAAACATCCGCTTAAAAGTTATACTATACACAGAACCAACAAATCAATACCAGCTCACTCATACACACAATCCAACTGTCAAACAAAATGAAAATGTATCAATAATATCATAATATCAATATATAGACAAAGATAATGTATGCATACAGACAAGTAACAGTAGCCCTAATCATTCAATCAGTACTAAACCAAACAACCTCATATACATAGCATAAAAATCTCAAACTAGTGTTGCCTGATGTGCTTTTTTGACTCTCAAAGTGCCGGCAGCCATTGACTTGCATTTTCTGAATCAGCAAGGACCACGGTTTCAGCAAAAAATTTTCTTTACTGTTCTGCTGCAGAAATAAACTCATCTTCATCTTGGATGGCCTGAGGGCGAGTAAATTAACAGCACATTTTCGATTTTGGGTGAACTATCCCTTTGAATCATATTTCATGCAAAAATCATCATTTACGGACCCTCATGTTGTTCAGACCCTGTGTTATTTCTCATGTGAAACACAAAAGCACAGCATCCAAGCTGCTAATTATGTTTGATATTTTAATTTCAGTGTCACTCAAAGCATTTCTCATGTGTTTACAGAAGCTCTTTTAATCAGGTCTTGCATGTTTCTGCTCTGCTCTGTGCTTATGTTTGATGCCACCAAATATACTGACGAGTTTATCATCCATTTGTCATTGTTTTCTAGGAGCAAATCTGCCCGCACTATTACATACAGCCAGTTCAAAGAAGCGCTCGAAGAGCTCGCCAGGAAGCGGTTCAAAGATAAGAGCAGCGAGGACGCCGCGCAAGAGCTTTACAGAATGATAGAAGGGAAATCGCCCGTTATATCTGGAGTCACGGTAAAGCCCACAGCAGATGTGCTGTTCTTTCTCTAAACGAAGAAGCATTGATGGTATCCTGTTTTTCTCAAACTTTTGTAAATCGTTTTGGAGAAAAGTTTGATAAATGCATAAATGTAAACATGAGTTGATGAAAAGCTTATAATTAATTAAATCATAAAAATGTAAAATAATTAATTTGAATAATAAAAAGAAAACACTAAAAAAGAAAAAATATGTATTTTATGTTCACCTGCATTTAATGTGACCCTTAACCAACATCAAAGAACCAAAACATGTGAATTTGTCGTTAAATTATTAAAATCTCAAGGGGACTTTAAGTAAATATTTTAGATCAAACTGGTTTGGCTCACAAAAAAGTTTGGGAATCTTTGCTGTGGTATACAGATGAAATCTACTCACTTATTTCTTTAATTAATGGTTTTAAATGTATACGAATGAATACATAACTAAACCATCTGCTGATTTCTAAATGTAATAATGATGAATATATCGCAGTGATGATAAATATTTATGAAGACATGAGCTTATACAGTCATGTTCAAAAGTTTGGCATCAGAAGGATTTTTTTAAAGAAATTTATATTTTTATTTAGCAAGGATGCATTGAATTGGTCAAAAGTGCCAGTAAAGGCATTTATAATGTTACAAAAGATTTCTATTTTAAATAAATGCTGTTCTTTTGAACTTTCTATTCATCTGTAAATCCTGAAAAATAACATTTTCATGGTTTCCACAAAAATATTGTGAAGCACAACTGTTTTCAACATTGATAATAATCAGAAATGTTTCTTGAGCAGCAAATCCGCATATTAGAATGATTTCTGAAGATCATGTGACACTGAAGACTGGAGTAATGATGCTGAAAATTCAGCTGCGCATCACAGAAATAAATTATATTTTAACAGATATTCACATAGAAAACAGCTATTTTAAATTGTAATAATATTTCAAAATTTTACGGTTTTTACTGTATTTTTGATCAAATAAATGCAGCCTTGGTGAGCAGAAGAGACTTTTGAAAACATTTTTAAAAATGGAATTTATCACAAGTCTCTTTCTGGACTCGCAGAGAGCCGTGGCTTCCCCAACCGTGTCCCGTTTGACCGACACCACCAAGTTCACCGGATCGCACAAGGAGCGTTTTGACGAGACGGGCCGCGGGAAGGGCAAGGCAGGGCGAGTGGAAGTGGTGGATGCGTCCGGATACGTCTCCGGATACAAGCACGCAGGGTCATACGAGAAGAAAGTTTCAAAACCTCCACAGAAACCCATGTGAGGTTCTCCATCCAGCAGTGAACGCAACGGAAGACAAACCCGACTCTATAAAGCACAAATGTATTTCCCATCTTCCATTGAGGGTACGTCTTTTCCTGTGAATAACATTGAGTTTATGCTCCTCTTTCTGTAAGTGTTTTATTTCTATTAACTGGAACGCTGTTTACATCAAACGCCGACGTCACCAGCTGGTACGTTCCTAACAAACACGATGATGCCAAGAGAAAGACAGGTGACTACAGTATTGCACGATCTACTAGTGAAGGTTTTGCTGTTAATCTGTCGTGAATATTGACATGAAATTAATATTTGGCATTTTGTACTGATGCAGTAGAATCAGGCCTGAAATATACTTTGCAAATGCTTGAGTAATGCAGTGCAAGTCCATGATCCCACAATTTTTGTTACAACAACACAAAACTAAGATTGCACATTTTCCATCTCCATTTATATTTAATGCATTTGGCAGATGCTTTTATCTTAAGTTTAAATTTGAAGGTCATGCATGTAGAGTATGTTTCAGGCCTAAGATAAAATATATTTAAATGCATTTGTCTTAGTATTATTTACACATAATTTAAAGGAATAATTCATCCAAAAATAAAAACTTGCTTAAAATGTCCTCACCCTCAGACCGTCCAAGATTAGGATGAGTTTGTTTCTTCATCAGATTTGGAGAAATGTAGCATTGCATCACTTGGATGCTCTGCAGTGAATGGGTGCCGTCAGAATGAGAGTCCAAACAGCTGATAAAAACATCACAATAATCCACAAGTAATCCACAGCACTCCAGTCCATCAGTGAACATCTGGAGAAGACAAAAACTGAAACTAATCCAGGATTAAGATGTTTTGATCTGTGCAGATTTCTCTCCTAATTCAGACCAGAACACTTTTTCACTGGAGGAAGCGTTATTATGGATTATGGACTCGGATTTGAGTTAAAAACGTCTTAATGCTGGATTAGTTTCAGCTTTTGTCTTCTCCAGATGTTAACTGATGGACTGGAGTGCTGTGGATTACTTGTGGATTATTGTGATGTTTTTATCAGCTGTTTGGACTCTCATTCTGACGGCACCCATTCACTGCAGAGCATCCATTGCTGAAACACTGATGCAATGCTACATTTCTACAAACCTGATGAAGAAACAAACTCGTCTACATCTTGGATGAACTGAGAGTGAGCATATTTTCTGCAAATTTTCATTTTTTTTGGCAATCTAATGCATTAATGGCTGAAAAAAAACTGACTTGATAATCATTTGGTTTGGTCTCATTTATCTAGATTTTTTTTAAAAAAAGCTGATTTTGTTTGCATTTATATGCAATATATTTTAAAATAACCGGATGCAAAAGTCCAACCATCGTAAATTATTGTTTGATGCATAAAGAACTGACCGCTGGTGCTCAAGATTGTATATCTAGTAGTTTGGTCGATGTTTTTTCAATTGATGGCATAACTATGTATTTCTAATGGTATAATATGAAACACTGCCTGTGTGTTTTAACTGTGGAATGATTAGCTATAGTATGTGAAAGGAAACAGCATCAGCAAAAGTTCAGGATTTGCTCTGATCACAATATCGGACCCAACGCATCAAGTGTTATCATACTTCAATACAGACCGAATAATGTCGAACCAGCGGGAAACATGGCTGACAGTCCTTACAAAACTCCTCTGTGCATCTGAACTAAAAGCTTTGGACAAACATGACACAAACAAATAAGTTGGCTGAAGTTTCTAAGGATTTTAACACATATAATCAGACCCACACAGAATCTGCAGCGCTGAATTAGAAACTAACAAATTGCATGTTTGTTTATAAAAAATACTTTGGCTAATCTGATGATCTTTCTGCCTACTCTAAGATTTATTATTAGCACATTTTACCATATTAAAATCCATTATGCAGCATTGAAGCCTGCTGATTGTGTCTGGGCCTGTTTATCAGCAATAGATCAAACTGCAAATGAAAATATTAAAAGGTATTTTGTATTCTGCTGTGGTTTTAGTTTGAAAAGCACTGTTGTTATATTTAACATGTCATATCGAGGCGCTTTGCTGTTTTTTTTCATACGTGCAGTGTTTCTGCCTACAGAACAATGTTTACAAGAGAAGTGACATGCTGTATCTAACGCTGGCATGATGTACGTCTAAATGAATACATTCCCTTTACCATGACTAGTGTTCGGATTTATTTATAAACGCACTGCCATCTGAACACGCTGGACGAGATCCAACCTTCAGGGTTCCCACACTTCAGTGACTTTCCATGAGATTTCCAGTCGCGTGTGAACACTGGATGTGGACTGTGTCACTAATGAATCATTCAAACTGATTTGTGAACCACTGACTCGTTCAAAAGAAATCAGGCCGCTTTATGGCTTGCAAACATGTTTTACTCGATGCAAGCACAATATTTAGTTCATTTAATATTTTAAAACAGAGCATTACTAGTCAAATCTATATTCATTATATGCATTTTGAAAAAGATTTTATGACTTTTCCAAATCTGGAAAACACAAATGTGACCATGGACCACAAAACCAGTCATAAGGGTCAATTTTTTGGCATAAAAGAAAAATCTATAATTTTGACTCATACAATGTATTGTTGGCTATTGCTACAAATATACCCCAGCGACTTAAGACTGCTTTTGTGCTCCAGGGTCACAGATGTAGAATTCCCTAACATTTTTTATGTGATAAACTGATTTGTGAATCACTGATTCACTTGAAAAAAAACTGACTCAAAAGAATGATTCACTCACAATTCAATTTAATATTTTAGAGCGTAGAGCAGATTTTTATAAGAACTTTTACGATTTTACCAGATCTGAAAATCACATATTTTAAACTATGTGATGGTGGGAACCCTGAACTTTGTAATCGACGATATTGTCCATGTCTGTGGAGCGAAGAAGGGAGGAGTGAGAGTGTACAGACATATTCTTCTACAGAACATCTATTTTCAGAAAAGAGTAGTGGCTACGGATCATAAATGTCAAGCTCTCCCGCAGAAAGTGACTCATATTTATGATAACAAACCACAAGTAAGTATATATGTTGTTGTATTTAACGTATGTTTGTGTGATTAATGCCAAATACTGTTAACCATCCGTTTTGAGGAACAATACTGTCTTTTAAACAATGTTTTTTAATGTTCTGCAGTATCCTGATATGCATGTCATATGGTGATGGTAAAGCGATTTTAACATGTCAGTGTTTTGTAGCATCGTATTGAATAAAAAACAAACTGCCTGGTTCTTCTTTATTTCCAATGCACGAAGTCTCGAGCGATTGTGTTCTGCAACAGTGGAGATCGGGGCTAGTTGTCACATGGAAACTTTTTTTCTGTATTTGACGCTTCACCAGGGTTTCTGCGGGTTTTATGAAGGTCATTTTCATCAAGGACATTTTCCAGACCAATTAAAGAAAATTTAAGGCCCAAATCAAAAATCAAGACACATTGAGAAGCAAAATGACAAGATAAGAAGCCTTGTTTGCTGAGAAAATATTTCAGAATGAATGAGTTTTGTTCAGTTTCTCAGAAAACTTAATTTTGCATTTCAAGTAAATGTATCTTGGTTTAAAGATGTTTAAATATTTGTATTGGAAAATAAGATATCAATTTTTTTGCGGGACTTTCTGCCCTGATTTAAGACTTTTTAGGGCCTTAATTGTGGAAGGGCAAATTAAGACTTCTGAAGATGCACAGAAATCCTGTTTAAGGTCCGTCTGAATAGAAAAGTACTCCGGTTGAACAAACCGAGCAAGCAAATTTGCACAACTTCAAGATATGCATGTGTGACATAAACAGAAGCCATACTGCTTTAGAGAGTGTATATAAAACAAAAGGCATTTACATACGAGGTGTAACTTTATATTCCAGATTTATAATAAATGAAACCTAGATGTCTATTGGAGGAACGCTCTTCATTTGCAGCAGTCAGTTCATCAGAGCCTCTTCCAGCTGCTGCAGCAAACGCTCATTTCTGGCAATCAAAGACCTGCAAAAAAGACTCAATCAACACAAAGGCTGGTGGGTTTTATAGCCGTGTAGCATTTGGATCGTCTTTGACACAGACCTGTAGCTCTCTTGCTGCACACTCGCTCCGTTTCCCTCCTGAATTGTGTGACTTTTCACGTTTAACTCCTCGGGGACCGTCTGCTGTCCTAAAAATCCACCAGCACAAACATTAATAACCTGTTTTATGTCAACAACTTAGTATTGAGACACTGACCTCTGTCCTGCATGTCTGGCATCTTCTTCAGCCGAGACGACAGCAGCTTGTTTTCTGCTTTGATCAGCTGTTTCTGTAAAGACACGTTCTCCTCCAGCACATTCTTCATCTGTTCATTAAGGGCTTGCTGTATTAAAGACAACAGCAGACGTCACTGCCAACGCATTTAACTTCTCTTGTGTGACGTATGAAAGATAACAAGCTCTTTCCAAATGGAAAAAAGCACCAAACTTAGTGTAGATTCCGTCCCAAGTCTGCATATGCACAAAAGGCAGTCATTTTTTAGACTTGCAAAACTGTACTTGTGCAAAATTAAGAAACTTGCGTACATGCATCCCCAAAATGGCCATATATGGAACTAACAATGCCTAGTGTTACTATGCATGACCTCATTTGCATATAATTTCCATACGCTATTTTTCAAATATTCCATATTAGTTTTTATGAATCCTGATATGCAACAGTTTTGGTCAAAGTTACTTTTAAAAGTAATGCATTATAATATGTGACCCTGGAGCACAAAAGCAGTCTTAAGTCGCTAGGGTATATTTGTAGCAATAGCCAACAATACATCGTATGGGTCAAAATGATAGATTTTTATTTTATGCCAAAAATCTTTAGGATATTAAGTAAAGATCACGTTCCATGAAGATATTTTGTAAATTTCCTACCGTAAATATATCAAAACATAATTTTTGATTAGTAATATGCATTGCTAAGAACTTCATTTGGACAACTTTAAAGATGATTTTCTCAATATTTAGATTTTTTTGCACCCTCAGATTCCAGATTTTCTAATAGTTGTATCTCGGCTAAATATTGTTCTATCATAAACAAACCATACATCAATGGAAAGCTTATTTATTCAGCTTCCAGATGATGCATAAATCTCAATTTCGAAAAATTGACCCTTATGACTGGTTTTGTGGTCCGTGGTCACATATTGTGTTACTCCATAAAAAGTAACTAATTGTAGTTACTTTTTATGGAAAGTAATGCGTTGCGTTACTTTTTGTCACCTGGGCTGGGCTTGCTTATTATTTGCCTTTAATAACAAAAAACCCAAAAGTTAAATTTTTGTCAATGGTAAAAGCCCTTTATCATTTCTCTCAACTCGAGGACAGGAGGGCTGTCCTAATATACATTGGAATATGGCACACAAATCACACGGACATCATTCACTGAGCTTTTCTTAAGTTGCTAATAATGAACTAGCTCAATATAACCATTAATTTGACTGAAATGATCTTACGATGGACTCTTGCGCCTGCTGGAGCTGGAGTTTGAGATCTTCAGTCTCAGACCGATGCTGTTTTTCCTGTAACTCAGTCCGTGTTTTCAAGGCTTTGAGCATCTCTTGCAGAGTTTGTATCTGCTGTTCTCCTGCCACAACATCCTGCTCCATCATGCTGAGGATCTGGACCATCTTCACTGGATGGAGAGCACTGGATCAGCGAGACGAGTTCACTAGTTATGGATTGCTCTGTTACGGAGAGAATCACTTACTGAGGAAGGTCCTGTTTTGTTGATTCTCCTTCTTCCCCGACCAGAGCTCCTCCATCATGCTGAGGAGCAGCTCCATGGGCTTCCTGTAGGCACCCTGATTCAGATCGATGAAAAGGCGTGCATTCGGATAAACAAGTGGATTTTTAAAGCTGTTTGCGTTTGAGGAGTTGCAGCCTACAAACCTTTTGTGGTTTGCGTTTTCTCTGTGATGCCGACGAGGCTCCTGTGATCTGGTAGGTTAATCTGGGAGGATGCAGGACTGGATTTGCTCTGTCCTGAAGCTGGTTTTGCCATTTAAGGGCTGTGCAATCAACAACAACAACAAAAAAATGCATTCGTTTTATTTACATTTATGCATTTGGCAGACACTTTATTTAACATAAAAACACTTTGTTACAGACACAACTATATTTGTATGTATATGTAATGCATGGTTTATCAGACAGCTAGATTCATAAAGTGACTAGTAGACTAAGTACCGTGCGAATCGGACCGCATTTCTGTAGGATGAGGTGTAAAGACGCTCTCTCCTCGAACCGTAGCGTGAGTCAGACTCTGGCTCTCAAACGTCACTCGCTGAGAACCAGCAGGAGCCTCTAATAGAGTCAATCAGAAAATACAATTATTCCACAGCTATCCTGAGTACTGGAGGTATCAGGCTGAAGGTAAAAATAAGAGAAATGTCACCCCTTGTGGACAGAAGTGGAATAACAAAAACATTCACCTTTTTTATATTCCAAGCTCTTGGGAACAGACTCCTACATGACAGACAATTAATAAAACATTAATTGTGTGAAAATATACGTATATAACTAATTATATAATTTACTAATAATGTAATATAGCATAATAAATACAACAGTATTAATATGCAGGGGTGCACATAAGTTTTTTTTAGTCTGGTTCTCATGAGAGCACCTGGAGATTTGGATTGGTGCTAAAAAAAAAAATAATTATAATAAATAAAATAATTATTAATAGTAACAATTAATAAATATTGCACTTTATTTGATTTTTAAAAATAAAATAACAAAATAATAAAGTGCAACACATATTTGAATCGATTTTCAACCGGCTCGCGGTTAATAGTTACATCCCTAGCAATAATACTATTATATTTTAAAATAATAAGTGAGAAAAATACATGTTTTATAGTATGCTTAAAAATACTAATGCTAATATTTAAATTAAAAAAAATAATAATTCTTGTATGAATTTTCATAATTTTCAAACCTAAAATCAGAAAGCTTTTTGAATGAATTTATATAATGACTGAATAGACGCGCCGACACACCTTGTTTTGTTTTGGCGACCTTTCGCACTCAGGTCCGTTGATCAAATGTATGATATCTGATTCGGAAGGATTTTCTAAATACGAAAAAGAAAAACAATTACAGACATAGATAATCTGTACACAAACATTAAAGTATACTATTTGTCATGTATTATTAAATATGGTACGGAAGTGTTATGCATTTATCTGTGTGGCTGGGTGATATATTTAATATTAGCCATGTATGCAGTATATAGTGTCTGAGTCAGAGAGAGTGTTTTACGCTGGAACAGACGAGGGCTGCGCTCGTTCTCAAAGCGGACGGAGAGAGTTTCAGCTCTCTTTCTAGAAACATCATTAAGCGCAGCTTCCTCGTTCCCCTCGAGAAGCGAGAGCGTCTTCATCATCTTCTGCATGGCTTTGATTCGGAGCTCACTACTTCTGCAAAACAGTGACCATAATCAATGACCTGAAAACCATTCAATTTAGTATTATTTATTTATATACCATTATATTATTTAACAATAAAATAAATAAGCTTTTATTTTTATATGCTCAGGTTCCATTTATTTTAGGAAAATTCCATTTTAATTCATTTCATTTTTTTTATCAATCAATCAATCAAATTGTATTTATAAAGCACTTCTCCAAACAAATCAGTTCAAAGTGCTTTACAGGAGAGCTAACGACAAACTAACAAATAAAAATAGAACTATAAATAGATTATAACAACATTTAAAAAGTTACAAATATAAAATGATAAAAACCATATGAGACATTACAGGAAAGCCAGGCTAAAATGAGTGTTTTTAATTAGATTTAAATTTTCAATGAGAGAGAGAGAGAGGGCGAGAGAGAGAGAGAGAGAGAGAGAGAGAGAGAAGAGAGAGAGAGAGAGACAGACAGATGACGCACCAAGCTTGCGGAGTTTGGTCATTGCGTGGACCAGGTACAAACGATAGAGCGGGTGTTTCCTGACCACAGGATTGAGCCGCAAATCCAGTTCCTTCAGATTGTGCAGCTTGTGCAGGGAAAAGACGTCCTGCAGAGACGCCAGCCTGTTGTAGTACAGATTCAGTCTCTCCAGCATTTCCAAATGCTCAATCCCCTACAAACACCAGCATGACAGATACACAACAGTATAAACGTACAGATGTATAGTCAATTATAAATATTCTTTTATTTCTATACTCACATTTGAGTATACTCATTCTATGATATGCACTGTCCGAGTCATGTTAATAAATTAATATATAAGAAACTTATTGTAAAATATAACCTATGACAAAAGCAAATAAATAATTGATTCTGTAAACTAACTATGGTAATAAATAAGAATGTTTTTTTATAAAATATAACCTATGACAAAAGCAAATAAATAATTAATTCTGTAAACTGTTAATAAATTAATAAATAAGAAAGTTATTATAAAATATAACCTACGGCAAAAACAAATAAATAACTGATTCTGTAAACTATGTTAACATGTATTTTTCACCTGAACTGTGAGCAGCGCATTATGCGAAAGATCCAGTGACTTCAGACGCACAAAGTTCTTTAGGGATGTTCCTAAATTACAGATTTTCCCTTCGTATGTTCCTGGAAGAGTCAACGATCGGACATCCGCTGCGATAAATCATTAAAAATATTAGTAAATCAAATAATGACTATATAATATATATAACTATATCATATGTTTTACCTAAACAGCTGTGCTGAAGGTTGAGTTTTTCTCTGATCCACTGCTCTGTTGTGGTCCAACCGTCTACCGCCATTGTTTTGAAACCGGAATTCAGGAAGCGCATGCGCAGAACTAGGATAGGCTTATGAATATTACTTACGTAATGTGACGCAGGCGCGTCTGATTCGCTGAAAACCAGACGTTGGCGAGTCAGTTGGTGAATTAGCCAATCAAACTTTGATAACGGCTTAGCTCATGAATATTAATTACGTAAGCGTGTTTGAACGTTTGTCTGAGGAAGGTTACCGAGCAACAGCGACAGTACTGGTGTATTTACGATTAATCTGTCAACACAGGAGGGAAGGACGCTGTCAAACTACGCCAGAAATATATATATTTCATCAAATGACAGCTTGAAGTTATGGAAATATTCCTTAAACAAATCATTAAACAGGTAAAGCGCTCAAATGAGAAAGTATGTCAAGAAATGTTTGCGTAACATTACCCTCTGGTGGCAAATCAACGCCACCTCAGGCCACAGATTTAGTTTCCCCCCCCAAAACAAATCACATATAATGACTGCGGTCATAATTAAATAATAATAATAATAATTGAATCAGTTTTCGGTCTATGATGAGTATGAGATCTGTGATGCCAATAGACAGCAAAATGCTTTCAAAACAACTGAATGTGAGCATGTGTTATATAAATATATTATAGAATTGGATTTGTAATAACTGATATGTGAGTTGATTGTCAAAACGGTGAAATTTCAAAGAATATAAAACATTTGGCACCCGAGTTATTCCTTGATGTCATATTGGTGTTTTTCCTCAAGGGGGCGCTTAAGGGCTCAGAGGACAGAATCCGCATTGAGCCGCATTCAATTCTCATTACGTTTTATATATTACTGGAGATGTTTATACTCTAAAACGTATAATCGTTTAAATGTATTGTGTATACGTTTTTTTTAATTTGACATAAAAATTTTAATTCGTCTCAGCGATTTCTATAAATGTGTTTAGTAAAAACACGTACCTGTTATCACTCTGATTGGTCCATTTTGGCCAGCGCTGAGAAAAGTAACAAGTAACACGTGACATCGCGATGCTTTACAATAATAGATAATTTGATAACATTTATATGTAGTAATTTAGCAGACGCTTTTATCCAAAGCGACTTAAATGAGAACAGCAGAAGCAATTAAAATCAATAAAATAATAAGTGCAATAAAATGTAAGTGCGGTGGCAAGTCTCAGTTAGCAGTACGCAAGGTTTAAAAAAATATATATATTTGTATATAATAAATAAAAAGACAACAAGTAGATATAATAAAAAAGTATAGAGAATGCTAGTGTTAGAGGATAATTTTTTATAATAAATAAAAAGAAAACAAGGATAGAAATAGAATAATCATTTTTTATAATAAAAAAGAAAACAAGTAGTTGGGATAGAAATAGAATAGAGAGTGCGAGTGTTAAAGGGGCTAGTGTTGTTGTTGTTGTTGTTGTTTTATATAAATAAAAAATAATACAAATAGATACAATAGTTAGAATAGAGAGTGCTAAAGTTAGAGGGTCAAATGAAGATTGAGAATAAAATGTAAAATTTAAAATGTAAATAATACAAATGTAAAACTTGAGTAATAATTGAACATACTTAATTATCGTGATTATGCGTGTATCATAATTTTTATTTAAAATTTAATTTTAAACGTCGATATGCAAAGTAGATCATTTATATTTTGATAAAGACATATAAAGAGATTTTTTTAAATTTAGTTTCAAACGTAAACTCTTATGTTTTTTAAATCGTGGAGTTTTTAAAATAAGCTCCGCCTACTTTTAGATCCTCGCTTGACGTATAGCTTGCCATTCTTCGCGTTTCTGATGCAGAGTCAGCATCAGCATCACACCGAGCACAGGTGCTTCATCTCCAGCACTCCTATCCTCTCTGCTGGATAGGATGAGACGATGGCTCGCAGGAGAGATGATGATGGTGATGATGACGGACACAGGCTGATAGAGGAGGAGGAGGAGGAGGAGGATGCGCGTCCCATCATGGACAGTGAGGATAAGGACGATCTGTCCCTGGACGAGATTTTACGTCTGTACAAGCAGCCCATCAACGAGGAGCAGGCGTGGGCTGTGTGTTACCAGTGCTGTCGCTCTTTTCGGCAGGATTCTGCTGGGACCGGAGGAGCAGGACATGTCAGGATTTATAAAGACGGATCGGTGCGCTTTCATTCCGGAGACAGATCAGGTGACAAATCAACACCTTCCGCATCCATTACACACATCGGCATGTGCATTTCCATGCATAGGCCTAATAGGTGTTTAACTGTCATGCATTTGGGTGCAAATGTTTTGAAACAGCTTATATATATATATAGTTGCGTTTATTTTCCCTAGTGTTCTGCATCACAAAATATGCACAGTATTGAATGCATCATCTTATGTGCAAGAATTAGGTGTGAAATGCTGTGCAATTGTGTCATGGTCCTAATATCTTGTATTTCACATCTTGTGCATTGTGTATTTTTGTCAGCACTGATGTATTATGTAACACGTGAGGCCTTTATTAGCAGGCCAGTACAACCAGTGCACTAAATTGAGTACTGAGTCTAAAATAAACACAAGGCAGCATAAATGAAGCATAAAAGCAATGGAAGTGCTCACAGTCACCGACCGTTGTTTACAGTTGTAGATGCTCTCTGATGCACAGAGGGATTCACATGCTGATAAACACTGTACAGCTCCTGATCAGGGCCTGTGCTGTACAGAAATTGCATATTCATAACGCTTTTGTGTGTAAAATGGTATTTCACTACAGATTCAAATGAAATATGTCTGCTATTTCCGCTCGGTGTGTGACTTTATCAACATTATGTACTAACATTACCCAGTAGCCCATGATATTTGGTAGCCTATTTAGGATTAGGGTATTTAGGGTATGTGTAAAATCTATCAAAGTTATGATAGTTAACTAAAGCTAAAATCACAACAAAAACAAAAAAAACTTTTTTTGTTAAGTGAAATAAAATAACATAAAAGCACTTGAAAATGTATTAAGTTTATTTTATTTCAACTAGTTGCCAATTAGTGTTATTCTAGTATTGAAATGCTATTATAGTTTTCATTCATATTTTAATTAATTTTAATATATAATTATAATTTTTTTTTTTCTGTTATGATTTTAATTTCAGGTTTTTTTGTGTGTTTTGGTCATATTTGTTAGTTTTTGTTTATATTAATTTTTATTTCGGTTTTAGTTATTTTATTGCATCAAGTTAAACTACATGAAAAATGTTGCCTTGTCAGCTAGCTGAAATAAAATAATTAAGAGTAAAAGCAGTAGTTTTTTTAAGTTTAAGTTTATTTTATTTATTTAAAAAAGGGGTTTTGTATGGTTTTAGTTAACTATAGTAACCCTGTTGCCCAGGCATCATTTCTCAATTTCATTTAGTTTTAACTAAAATAAATGTACAAAAAGCAATTAAAACTGAAATAAAAATGAATAAAAACTGTATATACATATTTAAAATCTAAAAAAAATGACAAAATGCACAACAAAATTACTAAAATGTTAACTAAAATAAAAATATAAAAAGAAAAACCCATTTAAAATATTAATAGGAACTATAATAGTATCTCTCTCTCTGTATCTAATAGTAATGATACTACAATAACACTGGTCTAAAACTGAGCTGCTAGGCACCTGTGTTGAATGGAGAATGCTTTAATCGTTTCACGTGTTGAAGTGCTGCTGATAATAATGAAATGTGCTCACTGTGCAGCTTATACACAGTTTAGAAGATTGAGATATTTATTACAGATGGATTTAACTGATGGCTTTCCAGAAGATGATTTTATTGCTCAGAGCAATATTTCTCTTTCATTGCTCAGGAGACTAAATGGAGTTTGCAGTTAAGTGTCGTCAGATGTTTCCCCAATAGGAGAATAAGTCAATAGCTGTCGTACAGTAAGAATATAGAGATATAAAATGAATGTGGAGCAGCACAAATCATTTGATGACAAATGCATGAGTTAGTATTGAGACTTATGACTTTTCACTGCAGACTTTGCAGATCTCTGAGATATTCCCAGAGGAGAGGTGCTCACTTTGCCTTTTAATAAACGCCACTGTCATTGCTTTCTCGCATGAGACACGCTGTCAAGATCGATATGTCTTGCAGCTTCCAGGCAGAGTTGTTGCTTTGTCAAAAGTGTGAACATGTTCCTCATTCGCTGTCGACTGCAGAAGAACAGAGGCGAGATCTGTTTCTTTGCTGACTTGAGATTAAGTGGATTTCAGAATTGTCATGTGTTTTTGCATATTCAATCAAAACCGACTGACACAGTCTGATACACTCAGGTTGTCGTAAAATGAAAATGTGCTGAAAATGCACTCACTCTCAGGCCATCCAAGATTAGGATGAGTTTGTTTCTTTATTAGATTTGGAGGAATGTAGCATTGCATCAGTGTCTCAGCAATGGATGCTCTGCAGTGAATGGGTGCCGTCAGAATGAGAGTCCAAACAGCTGATAAAAACATCACAATAATCCACAAGTAATCCACAGCACTCCAGTCCATCAGTTAACATCTGGAGAAGACAAAAGCTGAAACAAATCCAGCATTAAGACGTTTTTAACTCAAATAAGAGTCCATAATCCATAATAACGCTTCCTCCAGTGAAAAGGTGTTCTGGTCTGAATCAGGAGAGCAATATGCACAGATCAAACACTGTTTAAACAGCTCTAAACAAATATGTGGCTGGATTTTGATGCGAGAGACAACAGCAGATGCACTTTTCACTGGAGGAAGCGTTATTATGGATTATGGACTTTTATTTAAAAACATCTTAATGCTGGATTTGTTTCAGCTTTTGTCTTCTCCAGATGTTAACTGATGGACTGGAGTGGTGTGGATTACTTGTGGATTATTGTGATGTTTTTATCAGCTGTTTGGACTCTCATTCTGACGGCACCCATTCACTGCAGAGCATCCATTGCTGAGACACTGATGCAATGCTACATTTCTCCAAATTACAGCTTACAGCGCTGTAAGCTGTCGTCTGAGTTCTTCTTCTTTATTCATCTGTCGCTGACTGTCATCTCTTCTGTTCTCCCACAGGTGTGCGTAACCCCAGCCGATCCTCCACACAGGTGAGTGATGCACAGTAACGCCGCGGCTCATTCCTCATGACAGCGTGAGCATCTGTGAATGAGCAGAAATGTGTTTGTTAGTTCAGTACTGACATGGATCTGTAACATGTGGAAACTCTTAACTCCTTTTAAGTGTTTCCAGCTGTTGCTAGCGGTTGCTGGGGTGTTGTGGGTGGTTTCCAGGGCATTGCTATACAGTTGTTAAATAGAGTTATTAAAGAGTTTGATATAGTTTTTATTAATATTTTTGAATGAGTTTTTATTTAAATATTTTCAGTTTTTGTCTTAAGTATAATTTCTAGAAAATTTGTATTGTACTTTTGTCAATTTTATTCATTCATTTATTTATAAAAAAAAAAAAAAAGTATTGCTTTTTAGGTTTAATTTATTTTTAGTTCGGTTTTAGATTTGAATTATTTCAGCTTGGTAATTTTAATTTAGTCATTCATGTTAAACAAAAATTAGAAATGTTGCCTAAATAAATTTAGGTTTTTAATCCTAATTATTATTTTATTTTATTTTAGCTTTATTTCAATTAACAAAATTAACTAAGTTTTATTTTTTTTAGGTTTGCTTTATTTTTATGTCAGTTTTAGTTTTAGATTTTATTTATTTCCAGGTAGTAATTTTAGTGCTTCAAATTAAACTAAACAAAAATTAGAAATGTTGCATAAAAAACTTTAAATTTTTGTATAATGTTTTATTTTATTATTTTAAGTAACACATTTTATTATTATTATTATTATTGCTTTTTATGTTTCATTTTTTTTATTTCAGTTTTAGTTTTGGTTTAGTTTTACATTTTATTTATTTACAATTAGGCACTTTAGTGTTTCAGCTTAAACTAAATGAAAATAATTTTAAGTTTTTCATCTAATATTTATTTTATATCAGCTTTATTTCAATTAACAGATGTTTTGAATAGTTTAATAGTGAATAAGCAGCTCTATTACCACATTACCTCCTGCAGCTTAGAGACGTTTGCAGCCCATCTGTGTTCTTCTATATTCAGACGTGAGCTTTCAGCACCAGGTCATGTTTTCTGCTCTCTCTGGTCTCTCGCTCGGCTTGTCACTCCACAAGTTCATTAATTTGATGTCGGCAGCTGGTGACATTTTAAAGGCCAATTAGAGACATATAGACCCTACGGATCACTGTTTGACTCCCAAGCATCTTTGACCTTCCAGGTTTATGATGTGTTCAGTAGATCGACTAGAGCTGACTGCGTTGAGTATTTTTTATATATGCACGTAACTCAGCTCAACTTAATTCAGTCGCTGTGAGTCAATGGCCGATACTTGTCACGATATAGTACTTTTTGCAGGGCATTCATCAAATAAATGTGGCAATGAGCATATTTGTGAATTAAATAATTTACTAAAGAAAGGTGCTTAATCTCAATTTATTTAAAAGTCTCTTTTCTCTGCTCACCAAGGCTGCATTTATTCGTTCAGAAATACAGTAGAAAACAGTAAAAATATTATTACAATTTAAAAAACGTTTTTCTATGTGACTATGTTAAACTGTAATTTATTCCTGTGATCAAAGCTGAATTTTCAGCATAATTACTCCAGTCTTCAGTGTAACATGATCTTCAGAAATCATTCTAATATGCTGATTTGCTGCTGAATTATAGAAATTATATTTTAAAATGCAGTCAAACTTGTGACCAGTAGAGTATATATCAATCATTCAATAGTCCAGCAAACATATGTCCATTTGGATGTAGTTTATAAGCTCAGTGGCCGTTAAGTAATGTGAATAATTGTCACTTTAATGTGGTTTTATTAGTAAGTGTCCCTGACTGCATGCTGCTGTATAAGGACACAAACACACCCGTCTTATGTGTATATGAGACTTCAGTCCATAGTCAAATCCCTGTTAAGCAGCTTTCCAGAAGCTTTCTCTGACAGACAGCAAGAAGTGTTCAGAGTTTTGTGCAAGGCATTTAATAACAAACTACACTAGACATCCACGAGCAGAACAGTGTGGGGTTTGTGTGTTCGGTTGCTTTTTATTTCATTCAGACGGTCTCTTTCTGTTTTAGTAGTCCAGAGTAATCTGCAGACTGGACTGGACACATGAACTAGATGCAGTTCCCCTATTCCACTCACTCTTTGCTTTTGGTTATTATCTTTTGTTTAGACAGAGCATCAGTCGCTCTTCATTACATCGGTCTTGATTATTTTCTTTATGAGATCCTCAGGGTTAATGATCAGTTTCTAAACTGAAGCTGTTATTACCCAGCGGTTGTGTTTGTGGATGTAATGGGCCGCTGGACATCGCAGTGAACGAGTCTGTTGTCCACTTCACTGCAGGCTCCTGCATTCTGGATGAAATTCATCTTAAGAATCTGTTGGGGTCTGATTAACATCACAAAGAGTAACAAAGCGCTCTTTATGACTGGACAGACCCCTGGATGGAAGTTGCACATGAGTTTTGATCACAGGCCATCTAAGGGCAAAAGATTTTATCATTAACCTTGTGGAAAGATGCTTAAACTCTGAATAAAATACAGGAAGGAACATCTTATTATATTATACACCAGTGTAAAGACCATTTTATTTGTAATGCTCATATGTGCATATAAATGATCAAATACTCCATCAGAACTTTACATCTCTCTTGGGATAGCTAGTATTGCACCATTTTAATTAATAATTCCAATTCATTTTGCATACACAACTGTTTAAAAGTTTTTTTTTAAAGAAATTAATGCTTGTTTTATTTAGCAAAAATTTATTAAATTGATGAAAAGTGGATCATGTGACACTGCAGACTAGAGTAATGATGCTGAAAATTCAGCTTTGATCACTGGAATAAATTATATTTTACAATATATTCACACACAAAGCAGCTATTTTAAATTGTAATAATTTTTCAAAATATTACTGATTTTACTGTATTTTTGATCAAATAAATGAAGCCTTGGTGAGCAGAAGAAAAAAATCTTGCTCATCCCAATCTTTTTAACGGTAGTTTGTGTGACTTTTAAATGTTTTTATTGCATATTAGAAAATAAGCAATGAGTCAAATGCAAATGTAACTGCTTGGAAAGGAAATGAGGACTGTTACTTTGGCAGCTTGTTTTTACATTAAATAGCCTAACAGTTGTAACTAACAGTCATTCAGTAATGTGAACGAATAGATCTCATCTCTATATCATGCTATCTTAGCGGTTCTCAACTGGTCCATCACAGCCCAAAAAATGGGTCACAGGACTGTTCTGATTATCCGCTTGTATAAGCGAGAAGAAAATATCTTTTTGATAATGTCAAAGGTTGTGTGTCCAGTCAAACTGTTTGACTGTAATGTAATGTGAACTCTTTCCCAAAAACCTTGAACAAAGCTGCACAAGGTAAAAGAACATACAACCCAAGATTATTTTGAACACAGGTTACAGGTTTGGATATAAGATGTATAAGTGTGATATAAGAAACCAAACCCTTTTAAGGTTTCGTTGACGCCTTACACAGCCATTTACAGGCGTTTTAACAGGCCTCACACAATATAAGCAGACTAGTTTCACTGTATCAGGTCACAGAGGAAGTTTCACTGCAGCAGTTCAGCCTCAGGATTGACTGAAAGAAAAACCTGAAACCTGCTGTTGTTGGAGGCGTTAAGGTTCTTGGAGCACGAAATGTATTTAGTGTATTTGATGTTCTTGAGTAGGGCTGTGCGATATTGAAGAAAAATGCGATATGCGATAACTCATTAAATAATGCGATATTCGATATGCGATACGATAATGCTTAAAGTGCCACATGCTCAGATGAAACAGTTTTACTCAGCTGTTGCTGAGTCAGTTCTGTGAACTTCTATAACTATCTTGTGTCATATATATATGATTATTTGTATGTATGTGTATCAAGAGTTCCTGTAAAACCACAACACATTCCTTGCGTTTGCGCACACTTAAGTGGTGAATAAAGCTCATTCTGATTCTGATTCTAATAAGAAAGCACCCCTACAACAACTTCTGAAAGTGAACGGTAGTGTTTTACTCGAGCATTACATAAAAATGTCATTTTAACATTAGTGTAATCATTTTAACATGAGTTTAGGAACTGAATAATAAAAAGGAAAAATAAAACACTGCTTAGTATTTACTCGTTGAATTCAATATTATGCACTGATTCCATCATTGGCTAAACTAAGGTCTTCTCTTTCCAACAAAAAAAACGAGAATGTTCTCTTAAAGATACAGTGGCAAGGAAATGAACACAAAGACCATGTTGCCATATGGCCACACCATGCGGTAGAGGGTTAAGCTATTTTTTAAGTTATTAAGTTAAGAGCAGTGAGTGATTTTCTCTTTGTCTTTTGTTCATGGCCCCAAATATTACAAGCTGTAGCGATATGCATATTGCGATATGTACATTTGCGATATTTCGATAATTTCGATATATTGCACAGCCCTATTCTTGTGTAAAAAAACAAAACAAGAAAGGCTTTACGTTTTAGTTTGGTGTATCTGTGTCGATTAAGAATGTGTCTCAAATATCCCTATTTGAGTAATAAGTGCACTTAAACTCATTCCAGTGCACCAAAATCCCTGGAATTGAATCTAGTGCACTAGAATTCCCAGAATTCACCAACTTTTCACTGTATGTACCAGAAATATTGTCAAGATATTTTAAGTTACGTTCTCTAACACAAGCCTTAAAGGGATAGTTCACCCAAAAATGAAAATTCTGTCATTGTTTACTCACCCTCACGTCATTCCAAACCTTAATGAATTTCTTTCAGCTGTTGGACACAAAAGAAGATATTTTGAGGAATGTTGGTAACCAAAGAATTGACGGTTGAAGCCATTACTTTCCATTACAAAAAATACTAAGGAAGTCAATGGCTACCGTCAACTGTTTGGTTACAAACGTTCTTCAAAATATCTTCTAAGGCTGTGCAATTAATCGAAAAACTATTTCGATTTCGATTTTGGCCTCCAACGATTATGAAAATACAATAATTACGAGATTTGAAAAGGGAGGAAAAAAAAGTTCGGCAAAAGGCGGGATCGAACCCGGGTCGATCGCGTCAAAAACCAAGTCTCAAACTATACCTACCTTTTCCGGTTTGTCTGATTTGTCGTTGTGTTTTCTGACTTGTTATAATGTTTTCTGAATTGTTGTTGTGTTTTCTGAATTGTTATTTTGTTTTTTAGACTTGCATTTGTGTTTGTAATTTGTTATTTTGTTTTCAGAATTGTGATTTGCTTTGCACTTCTCGGCCACCGTATATATGCGCTCAGAGATGGAGCACAACACGGACATGTAAAGTTATCTTTTAGCTCAAGGTGTGCGCCTAAACGGTCAAATACACGCAAAAATGTGTCAAAATGCGGTGCTTAGTGGTTATTCATGTATACCTTCGTCGGTCATGTAATAAATGAACATAAAGAGTCGAGAATGAAAATACGCGTTTAACGGGAAATTGGATCCGTGCGGCTCTTAAAGTGACAGCGGGCTATTTTCCTGCTGCGACTGTGTGCTTAATATTAATCAAACAACAAAAGACAAAGACAAAATCACACACTGCTCTTGTGTGAAGGACTTTTGTAGCTTTAATAAGAAACAGAAAAGTTTAATTCTTACAGTGAAGACTATGCTGTTTTATTTTACATTTGATTATTCATTTCTGTAGTAGGCTGTAAACTGCTTGAGACTTGCATAAAAACATTAAAGCACAGTTTGTTTCATTTGTATCTTTTTATTCTATTGCATTTGTCCTTTGCTTTTTTATTACTGACAGTTTAATTATTTTCAATAATGTTGAGGACTTTTTGTTTGTTTGTTTGTTTGAAATTCCGCCGGTCTCTACAATGTAGATGTCATAGCCACCTTATTTACAGGAAATATATATTTGATATGTATCACTATCTTTAAATAAATCACTCATTTAAAGTTTTGGTCATATGGCCCCCTCATAATCGTGTTAAATAATCGTGATTACAATATTGACCAAAATAATTCTGATTATGATTTTTGCCATAATCGAGCAGCTGCGTTCAGCAGAAAAAAAGAAACTCATACAGGTTTGGAGCAACTTAAGGGTGAGTAAATGATGACAGGATTTTCATTTTTGCGTGAACTATCCCTTTAATTTCTCTTGCAAGTAAGTATATCTAGTTTGAAGCACATTCAGATATTTTTAGTGAAAATTAAAATGCTTTTTTTTGCAGTTGGGTTGTGTTTGTGTGCAGGCGATCGAGTCTCTGGGCATCATGATCTATAAGGCTCTGGATTACGGGCTGAAGGAGAACGAGGAGCGAGAGCTGAGTCCGCCGCTCGAGCAGCTCATTGACCTCATGACTAACGTGGCCGACGCAGAGAGCGACTCCTGCGCCGATGAAGGCTACGATGCCACTGAGGAAGACGAGGATGACCGCGAGGGGGATCCCGCCCACCCCTGCCGTATCCGCGGCTACCGTGACATCATCAAGGTATCATAGACTTTTATAGTAACTGACTGTAGACATTATGCAACAGCGATGTCACATGACTGGCTGCAACTAACTAATCACTTAATCTGACAATTGTTATCTTTAAATAATTGATTAATCATATATTCAGTGCTGTCCTTGTGCAAATTCAATGTGCAAAATGAAGTTGATTTAATATCAGCATATTAGAATGATTTCTGAAGGATCATGTGACACTGAAACTGAAAATTCTGCTTTGATCACAGGAATAAATTACATTTTACGATATATTCTCATGGTAAACAGTTATTTTAAATTGTAAAAATGTTTCACAATTTTACTGTTATTATTTTTGATCAAATAAATGCAGCTTTGGTGAGCAGAAGAGACTTCTTTCCAAGACATTAAAAATCTTAAGTATTCCAAAGTTTTGTATGTTTATGTGTGCAAAAATGGTTTAAAATATTAATGTTACAATATAAAATAATTTAAAAAAAATCAGAGTCGTAACAGCAGAACTTTTTAAATAAACAAAAGTTCCATTTATTTCAAATTTCAAATGATTTCAAATGTCAGGTGGTTAATTTAAAACCTAAATTTGATTTCAACAAGAAATATTGTTTGATGCGAATGAATGCACTTCCTTTCACTGTTACACTGCATTTGATTGATGTTGTTTTGTGTCACGGCGATTTAATTTAACATTTAATCGCTTGCTGTTATGCATAATAAAAATGCATGCATTATGAAAATATATAAACACTTTAAAGTAACACATACATCAGAAAATACACACACACACACACATATACATATATGTATATGTGTTTTATATATATATATATATATATATATATATATAAAACACATATACATATATGTATATGTGTGTGTGTGTGTGTATTTTCTGATGTATGTGTTACTTTAAAGTGCCTTTACTAATCACTGACTGAAACTGTATCCCACAATGCAGTGCACTCAAGCTCTCAGTGTGGGCTGAGCAATTTTTTTCTGGTACACATGCATTCATTCACAGACTATTTTTTTGTGATCTGCTGATCACAGTGAGAGCGTTTATGAGTGTGTGTTTAAATGCCGTGTTGATGTTTTTGTCGCACTAATGGGCTGCAGACGGACGTTCTGTTGCCAGCATGAAGCCAAGAGTGACTCATCACACACCTTCTGTCCATTTATTTCATTTATGACACATTCGTATGCCGCTCTACAGATCAATGTGTCTCCTCTTGACCTGTTCAAAACACTCATTGTTTATTCCCAACACGGACATCTATGTGATTAATAATTTACCATGAACTTCATTATAGTGTGAAACTGAATGTAGCTGAATGAATTGCTCTCTTCTCTGTCTGTAGCTGTGCGTCCTTCACCTGCCCACGCCGGCAGACGCGCCCAATCACTACCAGGCCGTGTGTCGAGCTCTGTACGCCGAGACCAAAGAGCTGCGCACCTTCCTGGAGAAGATCCAGAGCGCCAAAGAGGTGAGAGCAGACCCACAGCTTAGACTTCAGCCCTAAATCAAGCTAAATTCTTATTTTTATGTTCCTGAGATTCATCCCATTCTCCTCCCAGTAGATTTACATACTTATATCTGAGACAGTGCTATTTTAGTATTATCTATATATTACTATAGTTTTTATGAATATTTTGTATTAGCTGTTATTTTTATATTTTCATTTATTTATTTATTTTTGTCATTTTGTTTTGTAGTATTTGTTTTGTAATTTAGTTTTATTTTATTTTTAAATATTACTATATAGGTTTAAAATGTATTTTTTGTTTCGGTTCAGTTTTAGTTTGTATTTATTTCCAGTTAGTACTTTTAGTTTTTCATCTAATATTTGCATCAGTATTATTTTAGTAGAATTTATATTCTATTATAGTTTTTGTTAATATTTTGAATTAGATGTTATTTTTTATAATTTTGTCATTTTTATTAGTTTTTATTTCCAGTTAGTAATTTTAGTTTTTCATTTATTATTCTTTTTTCATTTTAAAGTTTGAATAATTTAATTGTGTTTTTTTATTAGTTTTTTTTTTTTTTAAATATGTCAATTTAGTTTTTATTGAGTTTCAATTCTTAGTTTTAGTTTATTTAGTTTTAGCTTCAACTAAACAGAAATGAGAAATTTTGCATTGGCAACTAGCCGAAAAAAAACAAGTTAACATTTTTAAAGATTTTATTTTATTTCAGTTAATGTTCATTTTATTTCAAGTAGTAAACATTTTTATGGTTTATTTTTAGCTTTAGTTAATGATAATATTTTATTTAATTTCAGCTTTATTTCTATTTGCAAAAAAAAAATTTATAATTTTTTTTTATTATTATTATTAATAACATCCCTGATCTGTGGTTTGACATTTTTGCTCTTACTCTCATAAGATTATTTACGATTGAATAAATGTAATGATGTCTTGTGTGGAAGAGGGTCGCAGCTGGTTTTACTGCTGGTTTGACCTTAGATGTTATGGTGACATTTCCATGTTTCCTTTGATTGTGCCCTTTATAATGTGTTAGCCAAATAACAGGGCTTATATAAAACTGTCCTAAGGAAACATAAAACCCAGACCTGGGAGAGATGGAAATGTATTTTATCTCATTTGTCTCCATTGATCTCATTTCACATGAAAAGGGGTGTTTGCCTAGAAGTCTTAAAGGCACAGCAGCAAAAACGGCCTGAGAGAGGATGGACAGTGAACATGAAAAACTAAATTACAGCTGTTCTTGGTGCAAGAAACCTTGACTAACACATTATATGTGGACTGTAAGAAAAAAAGTCTGATATGACCTCTTTAAAGCCTGCCTTCAAGTCCTAATTGTTTATATGTTTTGAGCTGTTATATATATATATTATATATATCTACTGTTTTTCACAGGGAAATCTGTGCCTGTTGTGGCTCTACAGCACCTCTTTATGGGGTTTTGAGTGTAAGATGAGACGAGCCACTCCGCCTTCACAAAGCGTCACCCTCAGTGCTCGTTCCCATGAGGGTTTACTGTTACCGCACCGTAAAGCCTTTCATTTCCAAACTAAATAATGACGCCACCGTTTGGGATCAGCTGCAGGGGGAAATGACTTAAGATAAAATGACAAAACTAAACATGCATGACAACTGAATATGAGGAGGTTCTGTTGTCCTGTTCTTTGTGTTAATCAGAGTAAATCAGTGAAACATCACAGTTATTATAGCAAAAATGATAACTGATAAATTGTCAGGAAAAAACAAACTCAAAACAGGTTTCATTTTCCTTTTGCAAAATGTATTTCCTATTTCTTTTGGCGGTTTCTACATACTATCATAGTTTATCTTATTGTTTTTAATTATTTTTTTCATATTTTCCATTTTCATTTTAATTTTTTTGTAATTTTGTCATGTGTTTTATCATTATATTAGTTTTTTAGTACTATTTAGGATTATTTAGGATTTATTTCTATTTCCATTTCAGTTTTAGGTTATTTATTTATTTATTTCCTGTTAGTGATTTTAGTTTTCAATATTATATATACTATTTATATCAGTTATTTTAGTATCGTTGATATGCTATTGTAGTTTTTGTTAATATTTTGAATTATATTTTACTTTTATATTTTCATATTTTCTGGGAAATTACTTAAAATGACAAAACTAAACATGCATGACAAGTGAATATGAGGAAGTTCTGGAAAATCACAGTTATTATAGCAAACAAATATATTTTTTCCTTCATTTATCTCACCTGTAAATTAATTACTCTGTAAATTCATAAAAAGAAAACAAATGTGCATGTGCAAAAGGCATTAATTGTCAGGAAAATAATATCAAAATGCAAAAAAAAAAATCTGAACAGGTTTCATTTTCCTTATGCAAAATGTAATTTAATGTTTGTTTCTTTTGATTTTGTGGTGAAATAAAACATGTTCATGTTCTTGATAGCTTTGGTGAGATTCATCTAATTGTCGGGTGTAATAATAGACTTGACATACTGTACTGCCGCATCTATAGAGAGGATTCTGCTCGACTCAGCTGCTCTCTGAAATGTTGTGTCTCACTCTGATTGGACAGAATCTGCGTAAGATGGAGGGCGACACTGTTGACGAACCTGGCAGGGAGCTAAACGAGCTGCAGAATGCTGATTGGGTAAGTGACCTGCCATTCAAAGAACAGAGACATTTGATTGGCTCTATTTGTTCCCCGTCCAATTTAGTTTAAAAGACAATTAATATTTGGTAAGATTCAGAAATACTAGCGATTTGACTGCACTGACACATCAGATGATGAGAACAAAACTTGAACTGAGCTGGATAATGACACTATTCTGCTCTGTTGAGCTGCTTTACAGCTGAACTGAGTATGCTTCATAATTGAACGTTGCAACATTGACAACTGAAATGAGCTGAATAATGATTTAATTGTCTTTGATGAAGTTTGCAACATTAACTGTTATTTTCCTGTTTATTACTGTGAAGCTGCTTTGAAACAATCTGTGAACAATCTGTGTCACATTATATATAAACGTGACTTGATCTGAGCTGCTATCCACATTATAAACAGTTGACGCATTTATTTTTATTCCTCCAATGTAATTCAAGGAGAAGCATCTGAGATGATCCCAGTTAACGGGGAACTATCTGACAAGGTTCTCTCAAAGTTATGAACAAACGTTCTTTCAAAGAACGTTCATTCAAAGTTATTTGGTCTTTAACTCTTTCCCCGCCAGCATTTTTGAAAAAAGTTGGCTGCCACCGCCAGCGATTTTGATGATTTTCACTAAAATTTGATGGCCTCCAGTATATTTTGCTGTATGAATATTTGAATATGCAGTACACCAAAATAAAGATCAGAGCCTCTACTTTTAAACAAAAAATCAGTCTTATTCTAGCTTAAAGCATTCTTTTTTTATCAACACTTGAATATAGGTAGGTTTCGTAAAAAAAAATATAATGTATTTTTCATATGCATCTGTTTACATAAGAGATCGCTCGTTTCTCCGTCCTGTTTACGTGTGTTTTTGTTCGGGAGGTTTTGTACTCGTTCAGAAGATGTGTAATAGCGCCTCCGAGTGTATAACAGTGAAAACACGAAAAGCCGTAAAAACCCGTCTTTGGCGGGGAAGCGTTTTCTTCTAAAAGACGAGATAACTCGTCAATGGCGGGGAAAGAGTTAATAATGTTCTCAAAATATTGGCACAAAAACGTATACGTTAATAGAACTTTTTTCTGAAATATTTCAGTTGGATGTTCATGTAACGTTTTTTAAATGCTACTAGTTGTTTTAGAACGCTGAGAGAACATTCAAACGTAACGTTCCCATAATGTTTGCAAAATGATTGAATGGAATGTTCACTTAATGGTCCCTTACAGTTTTTAAAACACTTAAAATACTAGTCGTTTTAAACATCAAAGATAATGTTTTCATTACGTAATACAAACATTTTTGCTAAACATTTTTGGTAGCTGGGATGTTGATACTTAAAAAGAAACTCCTATCCTAACAAACCATACATCAATGGAAAGCTTATTTATTCAGCATGATGCATAAATCTCAATTTTGATAAATTTACCCTAATGACTGGTTTTGTGGTCCAGGGTCACAAATGAGAATGATCCATTTGATCATGTTCATGCATTCCCTGGGAATATTATGATGGGTATTATGTTGAAAATGCCCTGGAACATTCTGGAATAGTCTGTCTAACGCATTTGCGCATGTGTGCTGCGGTCAGGCGTGGTTCTGGGTGCAGGTGATGCGAGATCTGAGGAACGGCGTGAAGCTGAAGAAGGTGCAGGAGCGGCAGTATAACCCGCTGCCGATCGAGTTCCAGCTCACGCCGTACGAGATGCTCATGGATGACATCCGCTCCAAGCGCTACAAGCTACGCAAGGTCATGGTGAGCTTCCCTGGTGTTTATGGATCTATTGAGAACCATCTGAAGACTTTATTTCAGTCTCAGCCAATTCATTTGTAAGAGCATATTTCATATTACATTTGCATTTATGCATTTGGTCACTTTATCCAAAGCTGCATTCAAGGTGCACATTTTGCTAAGTTCATGCATTCCCATAGCCTCATGTCTTGCTCTACTTTTTGAGCAACTAAAATATTGGGTAAAATGGGTTTGTGGGATCAAATTCGTTTGATGCATGTAAACTACACATTAACTTCATAATCAAAGATCCAAAAAGACATTTTCAGAAGTTGCATTCAAAACAATTTGCAAATATCTATTGCTTGTTCATGACAAACTATATCTAAACTATATTAATAGACAGTGGCTGCAGTTATAAGAGGTTTAATGATGTTTGCACCAAAAATGAGTCTGTACTAAACTGTAAAAAATTATGTGAGATTTGCATGAAAAATATGGCTGCATGATTTTAGGTTCAAACAAATTTACAGTAAAAAAAACTATATTTCATTAACTGATATATTGTTAATATTCCATCTAAAGTAATAAAATCTATTTTGTACCTGTATATTATACCGATAACCACCGTAATAATACAGGTGGGGAAGAGATATATGATTAATTAGTTCCCACAAGCTGAAGTAAATACTATCACCATCATGGTAACACACAACACTAAAATAATTTAATATACATCAATAAAACAACATAAGACAATGTAAGTAAAAACAAAAACTAAAAAAAGAAACATGCACGCAGGGAAATATGGGAATGTCAGTTTACGGTTTTTCACTGTAAATTATAAGATGACTGTTCTTTTTTGCCTCCAAAATCTGTACATTTAACAGTATTTTATGTACAAGTACATTAAATGTCCTGTGAGATCTATTACAGTTTTGCATCATATATAATAAGGGAACTTGCCGTTAAAACAGGTTTTTAACCGTGACATTTTTACAGTCTTTATGGTTAAAAAAAATGACATGAATGATTTACAGTGTAGGTGCATGTGTGTGTTGAGATCTCTGTCTGTCTCTTTCTCTCTCAGGTGAATGGAGATATTCCTCCAAGGTTAAAGAAGAGCGCTCATGAGGTTATTCTGGAGTTTATCAGGTCCAGACCCCCTCTCAATCCCGTGAGTGCTGTTTATTCACATCATACACACTTAAGAGGGAGTTCACTGAGACCAAATTGCATGTGCTGTCTGCAGTGCTTTAGTGCATGATTCTTGTGACAAGATAGATGAAATTGACTCATGCAATGATATCTTTGTGTGATTTCAGGTGGCAGCACGTAAACTCAAACCGCAGGCTCAACATCCTCCCAGCCTGCATGAGCGCATTCTGGAGGGGATCAAATCAGAGAGGAAGCTGAGGCCTGTGTCGCCTGATATGATCCGTAGAAGTCGATTTGGTGAGACTTTAACACACACATGCCTACACATGCATTTACTCCTAGAGATGGACATAAACAGCAGGTCACGTAGAGCAGCTGAATGTGCATGGTGGATCATGTATGAAGGTCACTGCACATGTTTACTGCTCGATGTTGTAATCAGACGTGGTGATGTTCAACTGAGATGAACAATCACGGAAACAAACCCGTCTTGACGTTTGCTCTGATTGCAACGCCGCAGCTTCTCTGTGTGGCGTATATCTGCTTCATACATGGCTGATATTATCACGACCGTCTCGTATTATTCAGTCCATTCGCGTACACTGAAAATGAATGAAATCGCAAGTCTGATCTTGCTATTACCAGTATCCACGATAACTATTACTGAATGAATGATCTTCTGCTGTTGTGACTGTGAATCTAAACCCTTGCCTGTTTTCTTGCAGTCATTCGGCCTCTTAGCATGTCTCAGAGTTTTGATTCATCAGGTAAAGCCGTGATGTGATGCATTAATGCCATCTGTGATGATTTAGAGCTTAGTCTCCTGTCATTTCATCTGTAACACTGGGAGCCGTTCATGTGAGGGTCTTTTAAAATTGTCAATTATAGTTTGTAATACTGAATCTGTCATAATGCCATTAGATAAAAAAGTGTCTCTGGGTTCAATAATGAAGATGGATGCTATTTATTAATTCATTTAGTTAATTTTTTTAATTGTTGTGTTATATTTATAGACCCTCAAATGAAATGTGACCAATTTAAAATCCATTTTGATGTCATCTTTCTAACACTGATTATTATTATTATTATTATTAGATTGATGATCATAGAAACTTGCCCAAGGGAAGGTCGATCAATTATGCAACTCAATATAAGATTATTGATTCACATGAATTTTAATACATGTGAAGGTGTGATTTACTCATGTGATGTGTTGGCTGATCCTAATCGCAAATGTAATGTATGTACATATATTAAATTCATAAATGAATCCATAAATTAAATATAAAAACATATGAAACCTATTAGGAATTGGAACATTTTCAAATATTAACATACATATTTGTGTGAGCTAGATATATATATATATATATATATATATATATATTTAATATATAATACTTTTCTATATACAGTTACATAAAAATAATTTGAAACAGATTCTTCAAATTTTACTAAGCTAATTATTATTTATATATATATATATATATATATATGTGTGTGTGTGTGTGTTTATATATGTTTATGTATGTGTTTATGTATTAATGTACATTTTTGGACATATATGTCATGTACATGTTTATCCATCCTAAAAATAATTACAGTATATAAGTAAATATAAAAGACGTGTATTTAAAAAATGTATTACAAAACATATATAAACATACAGATTTTTGCATATATAAATAAAATATACATTGTTGACACATGATTGCTACAAATAATACCATATAATATAATCATTATATAGATATATTAACATGTACATATACAGATTTAACTTTGAGGATTTTATATGTTATAAGCTTATATCTTCATCTTCAATGTACGTATGTAAAAATTATACATCACCTTATAGGTAACATCTATGGCAATATCGCTCTTGATATTGGGCAATATGTCATATATTACATTTCCGTATGGGATCAGTAAAGAGCTGACATTTTCAGAAGGTTATTTCATATTTACACTATTCTTACTGCTAAAATAACTATCTTTTGATATGTAATTGCTAAATGTAAACGTTTTAATAAGATGCAATGCATGCTGATCTGAGAGCAGCTCACAGCAGATGTTCATAGAAAGAGTCACACAAAAAGGTTTTTCATCTGAGAGGATGAGTGTGCAGAATTTGATCCGAGGTTAAAACAGAGTTTGCAGGATCTACAGACAGAGGAAAGCTTGTGTTTAAAGTTGTATGGCGGTACCACGGTACAGTGATGCCATGAGACTTTCATATATTAAACAGTCTTACATAGTGTTTGACACTTCAGTCACACTTCAGATGTCTGAATGTCATTGCATTAGAAACAAAATGTCAAAGCAGCTGTTATGTATTTTAAGGAAGGAAAGCACGTGTTTAGAAAAGTGCAGTTTGTTCTGAGAAAAGCTTGTGCATTACTCTATTTATATCCCATGGTATTTATATACTAAGGTACAACCATTATACCAAAAACCATGAAAATCTGAGTGTCTATAATGCCATTTTATCAATACTGGCTTGCACAGACTAGAAGTAAACACTTTATAATGTGTCAAATTCACTCGGCTAAAGACAAATGCAGTGATGTATTCATGAAATGCTCACATTGGGTCCAAAAGTCAGAGACCATGTGGAAATGTTGCAAATTTTAATTTAATGTAAAAATGGTAAATTAAGGAAAGTTATGACATAAAATGAATCATGATTTGTTCAGATTGCGCTCTGTCTCTGTGTGACTAATCAAGAAGAGTATCACTGATCATGTGACTGTAGAGATGGTCAGATTGTCCTTCGTTGAAGCTCAAGATGCTCTTTGGATTGTAACATGATCATTGGGTTTATTTTCACGAAGCTCCAGTGAGACACAAATAATGTACCAAATGTTTCTAGAAATGCATCATTTTCACTGTTGGTCTCAGAGGTTTGGACCCCACTGGAAGTGATATGATGGTGTTTGATATTCTGTCGTTACGTCACACATTCATTCACGGCTCTCATCTGTGGTGACGTTTCATGTGCTTATGTTTGTTCTGTTTCTGACACCTGTGACTCACTGCTTATGCAGAGAAACACTTAACATCATGTACAAATGACAAGCAGACTGTGCTGATTATACCGTTTCTATTGACTCTGGTAGTGCTGTATTTTAGGAGCTGACCAAAACAATTCGAACAATTTCTAAATGTGTTTTCAATGTGTACACCTCACATTTTATTGTGAAATAGTAGAAATGCAAAACTATGCAAAAAAAGGCAAAAATATAGACATAAAAATCTAAAAAGTAAGATTCCTTTTAATGTCTGACGGTTGTGAAAAGTACTGTAAAAAGTGTAGTTTTCGTACTTTACAACTGATCTATTTTGGTAATCATAACACATTGCTGTATCAAAACATTTCTGCTAATTTGCAAAAGAAGGCTTTATTACCTAATTTGATGATGCTGAGTTCAAAAATATCAATAACAACTTTACATCACATCATTTTTTTCACAAAACTAGAATGAAGATTTTTCTAATTATATATACGTATATATGATATATTATATCAGTTTTAACGCACTTATGAAAATATCAACAACAAAAAGTCAAATATCAAATGTTTTTAATGATGGAAAGAAGTAGGCTATTCAACATGAATAATTTAACTTACAATCTGCAAAGGATCTGAAAAATGTTAAAATAGTCTGTTTAATGCCAAAGATCTTTAACAAATAAGTTTACAAAAAGATTTTTCACAAAATCTCTCGTTTTCTGTGACTGTTTGGATGTAGTAAAAACAGAAAACCTCTGGCTCATGTCTGCATTTTCACTGTCACGGGCCATAATTCATATAAATATGAAAATTTGAATAATAATACATTTGAATTTGAAATATGACAAAATCTCAATAAAAATGTTCCTGTGGCTCAGTGGTAGAGCATTGCGTTAGCAGCGCAAAAGGTCGTGGGATCGATTCCCAGGGAACACACATACTGGTAAAAAAATGTATAGCCTGAATGCACTGTAAGTCGCTAAAGCGTCTGCTAAATGCATAAATTATAAATTATTATTAATTATTAAATTATAATTCAAACCTCAAAATCAGGATTCGGCGAATCATGACTTTTTCTGCTGATTCCTCACCAAACACATGCTTGTCGAAAACAAAAATGCTACAAAATGCATCATATTTTGTGAGAAAGTGTGATGTGAAAGAGTCACTTTTTGGAATCAGCACCTCAAAATTAGTAAGATACAAGTATTGGATTTTATTCAGCAAATATGCAGGATGGTGTTATTTCTGTCAAAATAAATTCAATTTTTTTTGTAAAACACACTTAATTTTCTTTGTATCTCTTTTTGCTCTTTATGTAACTGTTCTGAGCTGTTTTGTACAGATGTGTCCTCCTCGGATGGGGCGAGGAAGGCCTCCAGCACGCTGTCGTTGTCCAATGGCGTGTCGCTTCAGCAGAACGGCTCCGGCGGCTTTCAGAGGAAAAGGCTTCAAGCACCGACTCTGTCTGAACTGGACAGCTCTGATTCAGACGTGAGGATTTTTAAGCACATTGTTATTGGGCATATACTCTTTGTGTAAGTCATCAGCTATCTTCTGATGTGTTCTCTCACTCAGGATGAGACTGTAGGTCAAAGGTCAGCCAGTTGCTCCAGCATCTCTACATCCATGGTGGACGACACGTCGCCAGAATCCGTCCTGGGCAAGAAAAGTGATTCACATTTATATTTATGTTTATGAAGCTGTTATTTTGCATTATTTTTATTTTTTAAAAATTGTATTTTAATACACAGCTCTCCGAAATATTTTACTGTAATTGGTTAATTATAGAATTCATATGTATTTTTATAATGGTGCTAAACTGTATATTTGACTGTTGCTCATCGTAACTAGTCTCCTAAACTCATAGTTTCATTCTGTGTTATTATTGTTTAGTAAAACTAAAAAAAAAAAAAAATTTTTATATTAAAAATTTTGTAATATAAAAAAAATTAATTAATTAATTTTCTTAAATGTTTTAATTTAATTTAATTCTAAACTATTAAATGTTTTCTTGGTAATTGAAATGAAGCTGAAATAAAATAAAATATAAATATGAGATGAAAAGCTTAAACTTACAGTAAAAAAAATAGAAATGTTGCCTTAGCAACTAACTTAAATAATACAAGTTGAAATTGTTGAAATACTAAAATGACTAAAACCAAAATAAAAATAAATTGAAGCTAAATATAAATATGTAAAAAAATACAAAAGCAAATGACTAATTTACTAAAATCTAAATTAAAATGAAAAATGAAAATGTAAACATATCAACTTAATCTAAAAAAAATTGCCTTTGCAACTAACTAAAATAAAATAAGTTTGAAGTTGAATTACACAATTACTAAAACTGAAATAAAAATACATTAAATCTAAATAGATATATTTCCAATATTATTATATTATAATATAAATTAAAACTGAAAACAAACAAAAAAACTAATTCAAAATATTAATAGTTATAAATAATACTAAAATAACACTGCTCTATAAATAATACTAAAATAGCACTGCTCATATTACTTAATCCTCTTTTCTCTTTTAAATTTAATTTAAAATAAATAAATAATCAATATTTAATTTTCATTTGTTTTTTTAGTTGCTAAGTAACCGTGAAAAGGATAATGTACAGTCAACAGGAATCTGCTTTATGTCTTTGTCCAGATTATCATTTTCTCAGATTGATTCAAAGCATTTATTATGTTATAGCTCTTAATAAAGTTACCAAGCTGACTGGCAATAAATGTTTTATAGCCTTTTTGCTGGCTTGTAAACTAAAGCAAGTGTTCATTTAAGACCATTATTCTCACGGATAGCACAGTGAAACTAGAGGTCATTTAAATCCAGTTTCTTATGTGATTTGATTCATACTGCAGTGCCTGCCAGCTACTGCCAGTTTTATTGATAAGAGTGTTAAATAATGAGTCTCTATCGTCCTCTCTCTCAGCTCCGCCCATGTTCCTGCCCATCTCGTCCACGCCGCAGCCGGAGAGACGTCAGCCTGCGCAGCGCCGGCACTCCATCGAGAAGGAAACGCCCACCAGTGTGCACCACTTCCTGCCGCCCTCCAGACACAGCTCAAAATCCTTAGTAAGTGAGGAAGTAATGGGTGACATTTTCAAACTTCATCCTCTGTCACTATAGCTGTCGTCCCACTAGACGATTTTCAGTCGTAAGCTTCAAGTCATTAGTATAATGCAACATTAAAGACCTCATCAATTTACAGTTGCATCTAGTTTATTTTGAAAATAAAAACATTTATGTTGCTAAGGGGTCATCGGATGCAAAATTCACTTTTATATGTTGTTTGAACTGAAATGTGTGTTGGCAGTATGTGTACACAACCACCCTATAATGATAAAAATCCACCCAGTGCATTTTTTTTAAATCCCCAATAATAATGATCACTTTCTCAGATCAGGCTGTTCTGAGATTTTTGGCAGAGTGACGTAGTTCTGCACAGGCCCCTCCCACAATTGTTGATTGACACTGCCGTTTTAGCATAGCCCCGCCCTGAGTGAGCTGTCATCAGTCCGCCATTGTTTCGACGCCAGAACAGGGGTAGACAAGAATGTCTCCTAAGCGATTAATTGTTTAGGGCTGGGCAAAAAACAAAAAAAACGATTTTTCGATTAATCGTTTTTTTGTTTGTTTGTTTTTTTTATGAAAAATAAATAAATAATTCAGCAAATATTTAACACAAGATCTGATTAATGTGAATCTTATCATGTCTTCTCCACTAGATGTCACCTTCTTATTTACCTTGCGCGATGTTACAACAGAAAGCCTGTCATTCATTCAGTGCTTATCATAGCGGTGATACTGTTGACAAGAACCAAGAACAAAGCAATATGCGTGATATGCCATGCTCAGGTGAAATGCTATAGTAATACTACAAATCTGCAGAAGCATTTAACATCACGCATTTCCACAATGAATGAATGAATGAATGAATGAATGGCGGATGGCGAGACGCACTGTTTTGTTTACTACACACATACTAAAGCGCGGACGACGCTCGCGGTGTTTTCAGCTTCTGCCGTCTAACTATATGACAATATGAATACACGAATATCATCTCCAGCTGCTCTGAGAGTCACTTCATTAGCATTTTACAGTTTAATTTGAGAAAACTACTGTTATATCAGTGATATGATATGATATCACATACACAGCAGCTGCAAGTTCTTCACGGCAACCCGTCAAAATAAAAGTTTGGTTTAACGTGAAGAAACTGTGTCAGAAATATATATTACTATTTAGCAGTAGGGATATGCCGGTATCAAATTTTCATATTGCGATTAATTGATTATGGTTTTATCACGGTATACGGTGTTATCACGATGTTGAAATTTAGTTGCAAAAAAGTGTTGTCATAATACAGTATAACAGGTTTAATAACTTTTTTCTTATAACAAAAATAACTGAACATTTAAATACAATAAAGCAACAAACAAAAAATGTATAAAGTTAAAAATTTTACACAGATTAAAGTGCAGAAGAATTATAAAGACCAATAGGTATTACTTCACAATAAGATCTCATTAGTTAAACTTAGTTAATGCATTAACATTCACAATGAGCAATGGCTACATTTGCTACAGAAGTTATTCATCTTTATTTAAAAAATGCAACTCTTAGTTTATGTTAGCTCATTAAATAACAGTTGCAACTTTTGATTTTAACAATGTGTTGTTAAATATTGGAATTACCTAAGATTAA